GTCTGCCTCATGGGATAAAATGGTTCCACAGGAGAAAGGCCTTATAACTGAAAGATCAGCCTTTCATTCTACTTTTAGACATTCCAGGAACCACTTGAAAACCTGCAGATTGAGAGAGAAGTGCTCTGTTAGGGATCAAAGGAACAATCAAATCTCTGATATAAGTTGAAGCTTGGCCCTTACCCCTTGCTCACACTGACTCCGGTGCGGTTACCGAGCCGACGGAGACCGCAACTCCCGCACACCCCCTCTCACACCGCCCTTTTGACTACGGTGCGGTGCGGCTCTGCGGCTCCGGCAACAGGTCCGGAGATTGACTCGCGAGAACTGGAGTTCACGTAACTTCACGCGATAACACGACCCAAACAAGGAAGTGTCCAGTAAAGAAATATCGCATTTGGATTTTTCACGCGTGTCAGCACACTTCTCCGCATTTTTTGGCGACTTTTTGACTTTCTACTATGAGTAAGACAGACAATACATGCAAACGAACGTGTTTTATTTTGAAAAAAACAGGAAGTCTTTTATTCTCATTGGAAAACTTCCTGTTTGTGCCGCGATATTTGCGAGAGCTTGTTGCGGAGGGCTCCGGTACGCCGCAAGGATAACTTTCTTGCGGAATTTTCTGCAGCGCCGGAGTGCCTCGGTAACCGCAGCCGGACAGCTCAGCAGCCAGTGAGAGAGGTTTACGTCTTTTTAATGACTTGGAATCACTGCGGCGCCGCACGCACCGCACCGCAACGGTAAGACCGAAGTCGGTGAGAGCCTGGGGTTAAGGGTTTTATATGTGAGAAGGAGGATTTTAACTTATATTCTGGATTTAACAGGAGGCCAATAAAGAGAAGCTAGGATAGAGATACGATCTCTCTTTCTATTCTGGCTGTAGCATTTTCGACCAGCTGAAGGCTTTACCTGCAATTTGTGGACTTCCTGAAAGTTAAGAATTACAAGTAGTCCAGTCTTAAAGTAACAGATGCATGGATACGTTTTTCAGCATAACCCCTGCACAGGGTATTTACAATTTTTTGCAATACTCCAGAGATGAGAGAAGGAAATTCAAGAGACCTCTTTGATGTGGAATTTAAATGACAATTCCTGATCAGAAATAAGATGTTTTTTACTTTATTATCAAATAATAAAGTAAAAAAAACATTCAGTCTGGTGGAGGTTGAGGAGGGCCCAAATGCAGACACAGAAGCTGAAGGAGGTTACTCGCAGATTTGATATCAAGAGGGTTACAGAAGCTAAACTCCAAAAACATAAATCCACAAAATCAAAAATTCCAAACACCAGGAATAGCCATAACAAGGGGGACAAGAAATGAAGAAAAAACCAGCAAAGGGTAACTGAACAGGAGGAGTGTATATGAGAGAGATAAACAAAGAGCAGGCTAATTGGCAGATTGGGAGCAGCTGTGAACAGAGGAGTCATGAAGGCAGTTTGGCTAATTGATACAGACAGAAGAGCGCAAACAAAAAATATCTAAGAACTCAAATTCATTAAAAAAATTCAACTAGAACACAAAATGTAAATAAAACCAATGAAAACTAAGAGATAAAACTTTAACAGAACCAAAACCATGACACTGGGGGATGATATACAAAGATACAAAGTTATATCTGGACAGAAACAAAATCAGTTTCAATTCTAAACTGGAAATAAAAATGCAGACCTGTTTGTATATTGATCGTTGGCCCTGCCTGAATTCTGGGTCCATTTGTCTGAGCCCTGACATGCACAGCTTCATGTCAAAATGAAATCAGCAGCAAACTTTGGCTATATGAAAGATCCTCTATATCTCTGCACGTGGCATGTCTAACACATGACAGAAATTATTCTTACAGCTAAGATTAATGGAATTAACTTCATACCATGCAAACTGGTTATAACATATCCGCTGATAATAAATATTTCCCCCTTTTTCTTAACATAACTATATCACATGTATTTTTCAGAGTCGATTCATTTTACCACTGTAAATTTGGCAAACACGGTTTAGCTTTTACCTTGTATACCAAATTGGATCGGTATCCTGCTGATGGCATCGCTGGTAGTTTTCACAACCTGTGGCCCATTAGCCTGAGTCAGGGTTATTTGCTTTCTGGAGAAGTCCTCCATCACCATCTGGACCGCATACAGGTGCTGGTCATAAAATTAGAATATCATGAAAAAGTAGATTGATTTCAGTAATTCCATTTAAAAAGTGAAACTTGTATATTATATTCATACATTACATACAAACTCATATATTTCAGATGTTTATTTTGTTTAATTTTGATGATTACAAATGACAACAAATGAAAATCTCAAATTCATCATATCAGAAAATTAGAATATTGTGAAAAGGTTCAAAATTGATGGCCCCTGGTGCCACACTCTAATCAGCTAATTAACTCAAACCACCTGCAAAAGCCTTTAAATGGTCTTTCAGTCTAGTTCTATAGGCTACACAATCATGGGGAAGACTGCTGACTTGACAGTTGTCCAAAAGACGACCATCGACACCTTGCACAAGGAGGGCAAGACACAAAAGGTCATCGCTAAAGAGGCTGGCTGTTCACAGAGCTCAGTGTCCAAGCACATTAATAGAGAGGCGAAGGGAAGGAAAAGATGTGGTCGAAAAAAGTGTACAAGCAAGAGAGATAACCGCACCCTGGAGAGGATTGTGAAACAAAACCCATTCAAAAATGTGGGGGAGATTCACAAAGAGTGGACTGCAGCTGGAGTGAGTGCTTCAAGAACCACCACACACAGACGTATGAAAGACATGGGTTTCTGCTGTCGCATTCCTTGTGTCAAGCCACTCTTGAACCACAGACAGCGTCAGAAGCGTCTTGCCTGGGCTAAAGAGAAACAGGACTGGACTGCTGGTGAGTGGTCCAAAGTCATGTTCTCTGATGAAAGTAAATTTTGCATTTCCTTTGGAAATCAAGGTCCCAGAGTCTGGAGGAAAAGAAGAGAGGCACTTCATCCACGTTGCTTGAAGTCCAGTGTAAAGTTTCCACAGTCAGTGATGGTTTGGGGTGCCATGTCATCTGCTGGTGTTGGTCCATTGTGTTTTCTGAGGTCCAGGGTCAACGCAGCCACATACCAGGAAGTTTTAGAGCACTTCATGCTTCCTGCAGCTGACCAACTTTTTGGAGATGCAGATTTCATTTTCCAACAGGACTTGGCACCTGCACACAGTGCCAAAGCTACCAGTACCTGGTTGAAGGACCATGGTATCCCTGTTCTTAATTGGCCAGCAAACTCTCCTGACCATAACCCCATAGAAAATCTATGGGGTATTGTGAAGAAGAAGATGCAATACACCAGACCCAACAATTCAGAAGAGCTAAAAGCCACTATTAGAGCAACCTGGGCTATCATAACACCTGAGCAGTGCCACAGACTGATCGACTCCATGCCACGCCGCATTGCTGCAGTAATACAGGCCAAAGGAGGCCCAACTAAATACTGAGTGCTGTACATGCTCATACTTTTCATGTTCATACTTTTCAGTTGGCCAACATTTCTATAAATCCTTTGTTTTTATTGGTCTTCAGTAATATTCTAATTTTCTGATATGATGAATTTGAGATTTTCATTTGTTGTCATTTGTAATCATCAAAATTAAACAAAATAAACATCTGAAATATATGAGTTTGTATGTAATGTATGAATATAATATACAAGTTTCACTTTTTAAATGGAATTACTGAAATCAATCTACTTTTTCATGATATTCTAATTTTATGACCAGCACCTGTACAAGCCTTCAGTTTTATTTGAAGTTGCATTGAATGAGAGGGAACAATTCTGCAAGAACAAATAAAATAGACCAACAATCTTAGGAAAAGATAAATATTGTGAGAGATATTATTACATTGCATATGTATTGCACATTTATTTAAATAAATCCCAGATTTTCCCAGATGGAAGTTTTTAAACATCATGGACGTCCATCCTACTAAATATATTGAGGTCAGATGCAAATCAATGATTTGCATGTAGAATATGTTAGGTAATTTAAATCATTATGAGAGTGCTAGTGTAATTTCTTTAGATTTAGTTCATTGATCCTTAAATAATATATTGTATAATTCCATCCATCCATTATCTGACATGCTTAATCCCAAGTGGGGTTGTGAGGGGTGCTGGTGCCTATCTCCAGCAGTCAATGGGCAAGAGGCAGGGTCCACCCTGGACAGGTCACCAGTCCATCGCAGGGCGACACAGAGACAAACAAACATTCACACATGTACTCACACCTAAGGAGAATTTAGACAAGTCAATGAACCTAACAGTCATGTTTTTGGATTGTGGGTGGAAGCAAGAGTACCCGGAGAGAACCCATGCTTGCTCAGGGAGAACATGCAAACTCCATGCAGAAATGCAGAATTGAACCCAGAACCTTCTTGCTGCAAGGCAGCAGTGCTACCCACTGCGCCACTGAACAGCCCATATATTTTTTAATTGTTTCTCATTACTTCTTATTTACTTGAGGTCTGAGGACCTGAAGTCAGCACTATAAAAAAAACTGGACCTGCCCTGCAATGTTCAGACTGTGTCATCATCTCAGATTCTCTGTGAGTGCTCTTGCAGTCAAATAAACAAATGCTCCGCATCACCAGACAGAGAACAGAACCTTTGAAGGGATATAGGGATATAGTGTCTAGGTTTCAAAAGATTACCAAACAGATGGTGTTGGAAGCTGAAACTCTCATGCAGGGGGACACCACAGCAAGTCATCACAAGCTCACTCATAGCTAAATAAAATATTTATTTGCATAAACTTAACAGAAGTCAACTTAAAAAAGGTCAAATTATCTCTTTTGAACAATAGAAAAAATAAATAAAAAAACTGTTTCTCAGCTTGAGGCCTATTTTGTGAACGGAGTCCGTGTTTCTTAGTGGAAATTTAAAATGTAACTAATTAAATATTTCAATTTTCTACTTAAATAATTTTTATTTTATAAGAAATGTATTTGTCCTACATTAGTTTAGGTTGTGTTACTTACAGAGGACAGGCTGAGAACAGGTGGAGGTGTGCAGGGTGAGTAACATTCTTTCATTCTATGGTCAGCATATCTGCATTTGACCTTGTCTCCATCAGGGTCAAAGGTCACAAGATTAATATTTCTCAGGCAGTTTGAAGGAAACCTGAGTGAAAAAACACATTGATATCCATCACTTTTTTATCAGGGGTAATGTGAAAGAAGAGTCAGACACATGGTTTAGTTTGGTCTGATTCTTGTTGTCCATCCTTTTAAGCTATGAATTTGATTTTAAATAAATAATGATTTACAGCATTTAAGTTAAAGCATCTGCGTTCCCATTAAATCTTTCAGAATAATATTTAATGATGAAATGCCGCACAGAAGGGCGCAAAACAAAACAGATAGCACAGGGGATAAGTGGCTGTCAGTGATGGCCTAGTGGTTAGAGTTTTGTGCTTGGGTTCCAGAAATTCTGAGTTCAAGTCCCACACATGCCCACGCAATGCCATTCTGGCCATCTGAGGAAAAACTGCTCCCAGGGCATTGTGGGACAAGAAAGGATTTACATTTAAAACCAAGTTCCAAATACCAGCAACGTAATCAATTAAAACACACAATTTAAAGAAAAGTGTGCATTCAAGTGTTCATGGGCAACATGCACAACTATGAAGTGAAAAACCATCTATAGTTCTAAACTTTCAAAGAATCAAAATATTGTGCCAAAGAACGGCCCTGTTTACAACAGTGCAAGGATGTGGCTTACTTCGGTTGCTATTTTAGGCCCTGAATAATCTTACAACTAAATTATACTATTTGAATCCCCTTATTAAACTAAGCCATTGCTGAGGCATATTTTTTTGTGAGTATCGATTCTGTCCTCATAGAAGCAGGCTTTTTTATGCACATAATCAGCTTTGTTTAATTCAAAGACACATCAGCAAAATGAGGAATACACAAAAATCTAATCATAAAATTTGAGTATTTACATTTAACTGAAATGAATTGTCGATCTACAGTATAGGCACCAACACCCGTCGTGACCCCACTTGGGATTAAGCGTGTCAGAAAAAGTTGGATGGATGGATGGATGGATGAATTATTGATCTCAATTACCCTTCATATATAATTGCATATTGACATAATAATATAATTGCAAATAATTAATTCAATGGTAGCAGAATTACCTCAGAACCAGTAAGATGGTGGTCTGTGGTGATGAGTTTGGTTTGTTGGTGTCGGACCGACTCCTCAGTTCAACTTCAGCTACAGCTCTCCATGATGTAAGGTCATATAGATTTGTGACCCAGGCATTACTATCATACCTGAAATGGATGTTCTGCATAAGTTTTCCTTTTCTAGACATCTACCATCTATATACTCTTAAGTTCTGTCATGACAAAGCATTAAATAATACTTAAAGTTTTAGTTTATCAACCTAAGTAGATTACACAGAAAATCTAAACAGTTACTTATTTTTCTAAACATTATAAATTGAAACTCACACAAGCTGAAATGGAGAGTTGTTGGGAAGCAGTCGAGATGTGATCTGTTCCGTCTGACACCACATATTGGTTTGAACTTCAGATTTTTTACCAACTAAGCTTTCATCACCACAGTTGCCAGTGCAAACAAATGTACCATTATCACAGGTTTTGAAGTTATACTTAAATCGAACGATCACCTGCAGATTTTAAGGAATTATCAGGTATGATCACAGTTTAAAAGAAATAACTTGAAGTAATGTATAGATAATCTTTACTTACAGAGACTGAACGATTTGTAAAAGTTTCCTTTGTGTAGTAGGTCACCACAGTGCCAAGATAATGACTTCCCTGTGTACCAGAGACAATCAGCAACATCAGCACAGACAGCAACATGTTGAAAAGTCAGTGTCTCTACACAACAAGTTACTAAACACCAGAGCATTTATACTCTCACAGACTTCCTCTCATCCACTCCCTCTCATTTTCTATTCATTGATGTCAAATATTTTCCTGGTGGAATTTTAACAAAAACTATATAAATATTTTTGGGGGTTGTTTTGTTGTCTTTTATTCACCTCTGTAATTGACAGGGGTGAATAAAAAAGATTGTCATTGACAGGCAATAAGATATGCGCTGCCTGCCTTTTTGTGCTTCTCAGCAAATGTGGGGTTATTGTTATTTTGCTGTTTAAGAAATTTAGCAGGGTTTCAATTAATCAGTCTGCAGACTAGGTCAGTGTATATTCATAATTATCATCACACAGTGGTTACCGATTCACTGCATTTCAGGGAATCTATACAGATTCAGAAAAACAGAACAGTCTTAACAAAACAGAATCTGACCCTTTATAAATCAAGTTTTGTATAAAGACACACTTTGCTGAAATATTTAATTAAACCAAAAAGATGGAAAGAAATAATGAAAAACAATGGACGTTTGTTTAAACTGAACAAACTTACAGCATGAAGAATAAATCAGAAGCCTAATTTATCACTATTCTGTCATTTCCCGTAAAGTCATAATTTTCAAATGCAAATAAGAGATAGTTTGTGATAAAGTTAGGTAGCTGTATTAACTGCTCCTGCTTACCTTTCACATAAACACAGAACTTTTGCTTTCTTTAAAACTAAAGACAAAGATTTGCTAAATATTTGCCAATGTTCACCACTAACAAGTAAAACTCTCCAACAACTAGAGAGTTCGACATTCTTAACACTATTATAATTGTTTTACACCAATTTCTTCTATGTCTGAAGAGTCGGTTAAAAGTCTTATTCAAGTATCACTTTAATGCTTTGCTTTATTTGAAAGGGTGTCATTGTAGATTAAAGTTTAATGTCGTAAGTGAGGCCTCATTTATTGGAGAAATAGAAAAATGTTCAAACTAGGAACGGTCCTGTGTTTGTTAGCAACATTTCACTTATTCAAAATGATTAGCCTGCTTTGAAGTTGATTTGCATCGCTGACAGTGGTAATATTGTGCAAGGAAGTTTGTTATGGACCAAAATACTGACGGCAGACCAAACAGTAAAAACTGAAACAAGAAAAAACATAGTTTAAATAACATTAACTTACAAATAAATGCAAGAGGAAATGGTCTATGAATACATGTAGAAATGTAAGCGTTGAAATGAACAGCAGAATAAATACAAGTTTAATGAAAGCAGTTTATAAAGGGTGGTAATGTTAGCCAAAAACTGAAGTTAGATATGTATGTACTAGGGTAGCAAGGTCAGTTGTGTCTGCATATTTTCAGACAAGCTGAACCTTAGAGTTTAAAAAGGAAGAACAGTGGAAAGTAAATACATCTGCTGGCTGGTAAGAATCACGAAGACTTTTTTCTGTTAGGAATCCAGTTTGTGTGGGTTGTTTGTGTGTTTTCTCCCTCCACCACCAAGTGGTTAGCCTCGTGAGACCATCCTGATCTCGCGAGCTTTCAAGGTTTCACTCGCAGATCAGTCTGGAGACTCTCCGTTAAAGAAAATTTGGAGCCATTCACCAAACGAACGTCCAATCAGTGTTGGCTTTGAGGCGGGTTGAGGTGTGACACAACGAGAAGCGCAACAGTTCAGTCTAAAGAATATGGCGGCTTCAGTCGATGAAACTAGCATTAGCGTGGCTATCGAGCAAGTTTTTCTTCACTGAAAGAAGAGCAAAACACTGCTCTGGAGGCTTTTCTCAGAGGAAAAGATGTTTTTGCTCCTCTCCCGACTGGTTTCGGCAAGAGTTTGATCTATCAATTGGCTTGTGCCTGGCTTGTAGTTGTGTTTTCGTCGTCGCTCTGTTAGGACGTCATATGCTTCGTTGATCTGATTGGTTTATTTGGCCCGTCTATCACCAACATAGGCCAATCAGCTAACCAGTATTTTCGCCCCTTCCCAAAATTAGGTTTCCAGATGGATATGCGGAGCAAATCCATATGGCGGAGTCAGATTACCAAGTGGTGCCCTGTCCTCGTTGGGCCTAGCTGCACACCTGCGGCTCGTTTGATCACTACTGGAGGAGTATTTGAGCAGTGGGCTTTCACTACCTCGACGCCAGTGTGTTTGCCAGTTTTGGGTACTCTAACCAATCTAAGATTAGCGGAGTCTAACCTAAGCTTTGTTTCTCTGAGTCTTATCTAGTTTTTGTCTTTGCTCTTCGGCAGGAAGCCTTCCTGAGAAACTGGATACCTGGACCTTCTCCCCTTGGAAGGATTAACTGAGTGAACACTGAGCAAGGGAAAATGTCCACATGATCCGTTCAAGTCCTCATCGGAAATCCAAGTGACAGTCCACCCCTTTACTTCTCTGGGTCCAACGCTTGTCTCTCTGTCCGCCCTCCAACGAGTTCCCTCTTCTCTGGCTAAAACCCACAAGCTGGATTCAAGGATTGACAAGAGCCCCCTCAACAACTTTCCAGTTCCGGTTCACCAGTCCACTGAGTTCCTGATCCAACTTCTGTACTTCATCTATATTTAATAAACCTGTTAAACTTTTTCCCTTGGTCTCTGAGTGGTTCTCTGCATATGGGTCAGATCCCTTAAACCAATCATGACACTTTCTATGTGTCTGTTTGCAGTGTTGTGCCTGAACGCGTTCATTGAACGAAAGTTCATGAACTCGTTCATATTTTGAGCAAACGTGAACTGAACGTACTGTATTACTGCCTGATGAACGCTATTGTGAACTCGTTCATTCTGGTGTCTGTGAACGGCACGCTCTCTCAGTTCAACTCCGTTCAATAGGTTGCCAAATTTCTATAGAGCCCTCCAGGCGAAACCCCGGCTAAATCACACCGTAAACAGGCCTTAATATGTAGCGGGGAAAACACCCAATCTGGCAACACCAGCTACCAGTGTCGTAGCCTACAGCCGCGTGTGTCATCAAAACAAAATGCAGCGTGGAAGCCACAGCAGCATGGAGGCGACCGTGGATGCGACAAAGCAGCAGTATGATCACTTAAAACAGGTTTATGACCAGGTGGTCGGCGAGGATGATGGCAACAATCTTACATTTCTCTGCAAACTTTGCCCGCCGGCTTTCAGTAAAAAAATCCGCACTTCAGTAACCTTAAATTCCTACCTCAGCCTGGTCCCTCAGTTTGTGTAAGTAAAATGTTCTTAAGGGTTTTACTATTCATGTAACTTGTTTGTTAAACCTGCCTGGTATAATTTTCCAGGATTCCTTTTTATTATGGACTGGAATGGAATTTCAAATTGAAAAAATTATTAAAATTAAAAAAACATTTGCACCTTAAAGACTACTTTCCTGTTTTTCTTTTAATAATTCCTCATAAAAAATCCCATTCAAGCAGCACATTTTTCCTGATGTTTTTGAGAATATACTGTAGGGGTGAAAGCTGCATCTGCTACTAGTGTGAAGTGAATGGACAGCAACAAAGCATTAAAGCAACAATGGGGAAATGCTGTCCCCACAATGCTAATGTAAATCCTGGTTGGATAAGGATTCAAAACTGGATATGAAGATGAAATCTGACGCACAGTTTCAGTGTTACAACTGATAAAATAATTGCTGTCTGTGGTTCTACAGTAGGCTATGGTGTAATTGAGCAATATATGAAAAAAAAAAAAAAAAACTATGAACTAGTTCATTTTTTGAATTATGAACTATGAACTGAACTAGTTCATTTTAAAATGTGTGAACTGAACTTTGAACTAGTTCACGTAGAAAGAGAACTTTCCCAACACTGTCTGTTTGTCCAATAAGGTTTTGTTTCTAGGCAAGCTTGTGTGTGTATTTTTCCCCAGTTGAAGGAACAATACAGTATGTTAAATTTTGTTGATGAACCATATCATAATACAATTGCAGGATTTTCTAAAAAGGATTCTTTATCGTATATTTGATGGAACAAGCAGTTCCCCTCTATTGACAGCTTAAGCTTCAGCATAGAAAAGTCCAGAAGTATCATACAGAAGACACTGGAAGTGCAGTACTGCAGACACTGCAGACACTAACTTTAAATTATTTATAAACTTATGAAAGGATTTTAAGGAAATTGTTGCCAAAAGTGCACCTTATGCAAAAATTCATAAAAATTAGGAAAGATCCAGAAAAGGTGTGAGTTTTAGCTACAGGTGAAAGTCACGATATGGGGCATTATTTGCTTCTTAATGGATGTCTGCGCTCCCCGAGTGCTTTTCTAATTAATAATGTAGAAAAACAGAGGCATATGGAAAGGTAGCAGACTAAGGTGAGTTTATAGTACTTTAACACCAGACTGTTGAATTGCTTGAAAGAATGCCAGAGTCTGGAGACTAAATCACTCTAGAACCATGTCCAGACCCAAATCACAACTGCTGGTGTCAGGATGGTTTATTTAGACCCGTAGCAGTTTGATTAATGTTTATATTGTTTGCCCATTGTAATGTGCCAAAAGTAACAAGAAGAGAGGATCTGGAGTATGAGGAGAGCACTGCAGTAGCAGAAGAGTAAATTAAATTAAGAGACTGAATCTTTAGATAAAACAGCTCCATTTTTTTTTCTTTTCATCTTGATTAGACTATTTAATTACTGTGTGAAGTTGCTTGGTCCTGTCTCTAGAACCCTTTTAAAGTAAACTGCATCAACTGTGAAGTTTCTAACTTTTATCATTTCTTCTTGACCAATAGCTGGCCTGGCCTAGCCGTGAAAATGTGCACTAAGACACAATGATACTACAAATCAAAGGAAAAACAGATTGCACAGAAATAAATCCAGGACAAGTATGCTTTCAAATCAATTCTGAATTCTATTTGCTTTTCTGTATTTAACATGATTTGCCTACCTGAAGTTGACGTCAATAGGCTGATTGACAAAAGTCTAGAGCCAGAAACAGAAACCTGTTTAGATATTCCTCAAAGGTTAATGCAGGATTCAAAAATTGTGTTTAGATTGAAATTTACATGTAGGGCCTATTTAACTGGAACCCTTTGACAAATAATTCAATATGTATTTGTGTTAAGCCATTTTCTGAGTGTCTTTTAAGTATGTTTGAGAAACTGAGGTTGTTACTTTGACTACTGCACAGAAAAATACATGCAAAGGTTGGTATATTGCAAATGTGCAACAACATATTTGTCAGTGATATCATTCACCCTAAGGGACCAGTGCTTGCCAATGATTACAACGTCTGCTTTGAATGTGTAATAGCTGCCACAGTGAGAATCCTGGTTGATATTAGTGGATATCGTTATTTTTCTAATGAATGTTTTGTGAATCTCAGTAGTTAATTTCTAGGAGGAAAGTATGTAGATTTTGTTTATTGTTGCAATCAATCATTTATAAAGAACATTGGCAGTGTTTTTCCTAATAGCAATATGACACTTCAGGTTTCAGGAAAGGTTGTTTTTGGTCACCTGGTCAGAGGGCTGTCCTTCACTATTTGCATTTTTGACGCCACGTGCAGATAGCACTACAGAAAAATCCAAATACATTTCCATTTAAATTATCTAACCTCCTCTGCAAAATGAATTTACTGGAAAAAGCCCACTGTTCAGGGCAAAGAGGGCAAAGCATGTTTATTTGTTTTGCTCAGGTCAGTAATAAATCAGAAATCAACATTACAATAGAAGCAAAAGAAAAGCAGAATGAAAGCAAGTAAAGTTAAAAACATGATAAAACAGGTAGTAAACCAAACAGTTGGACCATTAACCTAAACATTAGTTAAAAGTAACAGTCAAAAGCTGTTCTAAACAAATAGGTTGTTAATGTTGAACTAAAATAACATGGTTTCAGCACAAAAAAAGGAAATACACAAGAAAGGAGGAGCTGTTCTGATGTAACCACCCATGTATGGATATCTTAGTTCTCAGTGCGGGTGACCTGGGTTTGAATCCAGCCTGTGGTCTTTTCCCACATGTGTCTTCCCCTCTTATTACCCCTTTCCTGTCAGCCTACTGTCCATAAAAATGAAACAATAGTGCTGTAAAAACTCAAGAAAGAAAAAAAAAACTGTTAATTGTATTGTTTCAATGGCAATAAATGAAAAGACTTTTCAAGAGGGGCGTTTATAAAAATGAAGCAAAGCAAACTGAATCAAAAAGGTTGTAAAAGCCCTGAAAATCCCAGGCAATACATATGGAGGCACACTTTATAGATTTTAAAGTACAAGAAGCTATGCCACATAGCGCAGAACGAGGAAGTCCTCTGCAACATAATTTATTCGATGATTGAATGATTTTAACACCTGTGTTCATAATAATGCCATAGATGTGTAATTGAAGAAACAATTTTGTTTCAGTTGATCATGAATTGCAGTCAGATGTGTCATTTCAACATGGCAAAATGTTAAAAAGTTGAAATGATATGAATACTGCAAGGAAATTAGGATGATTTTAAATTTAGAGATAATGAGCTGAAGGGTTTTTCTAAGATGTTCCATTGCTGTTTATTCTTCCTTCTAACTTTCCTTTTTTGGTTATAAAAATCAACCATCAGAACTTCTGTTTCTATTAATATTTTGTAAACTTTAGATCAAAGTGAGGATTCTAAAGCATCAAATTGAATTAGCGTGTCTGTTTTACCTTTAATAGGAAGTTGTGCCTTTTAGTTAAGTATAGCAAAATGAAAATATTAAATTTTTTGCTTTTCCCTTTTATTATTTCTGTTTAAAATAATTGTCCTCTGTTATCTGAAACCATGAGTTTTCCTCTGAAAGATTAAAAAATTTGAGATATGTCTTTCAGAAAAAAAAAATTATTCACAAGTTAACGCTCTAACCATGCAATTTATATTAAATGAAAATACAGTGAAAACCAGAAACGTGTTGCTTGTTACAATATCATAACCCTCCAGCAGAATGTGCTATTGGTCCAGTAGATCTGAGTCTTGTAGTATCTGTGCTCCAAGAAATAAAAATATGAACAGAAAAATTACCAATGTTTCAATATCATGAAAACCACTGATTGGGGTTAAATAAAAAAAAACACACTGAAGGCTGTGTAGCTTAAAAAGAAAAACAAATGTACCAATAAACAAGCAGGAAATAAACTATTTAATTGGTTATTTAAAAGTTGCCACAGCTCCACCTCTTTGTTTAATAATAACAGCTAAAAGTTTAGTCTTATTTTCTGTCAAAAGCAGATGGTTCCTTTTAACAGTGACTGAACACCAGATTTACTTGTGTGATAATAGGAAGAAAGCCATTTCCTTAATATAACCCCAAACATCCCGTAGGAATGCGGTTGGTGTAAATTTATGTTTGTTATTTGTGAAAGAAAAACTGTTCAAGAATGCAAAAGAATCAAACCTAGGGTTCCTCTCCTTCCAGTGTAACCTTAAACTTTGGATCAGAGCTGCAGTTGGTCGCTTTTGAAGTATATTTATCTGTTCAGCATTATGATTTGTTTATTTTCTTAATTCTGTCACTTATTCTGTTTCTATACACTTCTCTAAGGTCCACATTGTGTGACCACTTTTACATTAAACCTTTGCTGGAGCTGTAACACCAAAATTTCCCCATTCTAGGACAATAACAGGATTTTCTGTTCTATTATACTCTATTCTGTTAGACTGACAAAGTCAGAGTCCAGACCTAAGTCCTTTTCATTATTTGTGTTGTGACTTGTAAAATGCTCTTCATAGTGCTGTGTGTTTCTGAATACTTACAGATTTGTTTTGTTTTTTTGTATTTTGACATTCCGAAATGTTATTCAACATGTCATAAAATATTATTACTCAAACATGGCCTGATCAAATGCTAAATGTGTTTTCAAGGGATAATGTCACACGTTGCTGATGAAGGTTCTCAGTCATCCAGGTCATAGTCATTCCGTAAAAATTTAATCATAGACAGGTTTCAGGTATTACAGGAGACAACCCCCCCCTTAATGGCAATCCCCCCTTTTACGACCGACCCCTAGAATCATAGACAGGTTTCAGATATTACAGGCTAACGATGGAACTAAACGACCCATTCATCGGTTACCATTTGCATGTTTCCAAGCAATACAAGGCCTTGTCCATATAAGACTCAAACTCACTGCGGATCCAGACATTTGAATTGAGAAAGCTTCCTGGAGAGGTGGCGAAACGTCTTCAAATCTTGAAAACCAAGTCCAGTGGATATTTTTTTTTTTTTGTACGGAAGGATAATGTCACACATTCACAGAAATTGTTTAATTAACCAACCTGCCCCATGGGTTCAATCCTGCATTAATGGTGATTACTCATCAAGTATGAGGTCATTTTTAATAGCTTTCCCCAAGCAAATTATTGACAAAACTCATGAATCCTGAAATTACTTGAAAGAACCAGCCTTACAATATGAAGTAGAATAAAAAGTTATAATAATAAAAGTTTTTAAAGATTTCCGAAAAAAAATTCATTGTGGGAGTCAACCATGGTGGTAGTGGTGGTCTGGAAATGGTTTGCTGCTTCAGGTCCTTAATAAATGTTGTAATAGAGGGACACAATAAATCTTTTATTCAAGTTGTGTGTTGTGCTACAGGGCAATGATCAGAACCATAAGAACAAATTTAAAGCAAAAAAACAAAAACAAGTGAAACATAATCAAGTTTTGGGGAGAAACTTCTCCACCGTGCAAACAGGATTGGACAAATTTCATTGTTTTACCAATAAAACGATGAAACTTGATAAACTAATGACACCTCTGACAACCATCAGTAGGCAATGCAGGTGAAGTGTCTTGCCCAAGGACACAACGACACTGAAAGTCAGAGCCAGGGCTTGAACCGTCAATCCTTCGATTTCAGGGCAAACTCCTACATCCAATGCCACTATCACCCGTTGATTTAACAGAAAAAGGCAGCTCTAAACAATGCGTTTTTAACTTTGATGTAAAAGAACTCAGGCTTTCAGCACTTTTACAGTTTTCTGGGAGTTCCAGATAAGTGGAGCATAGGAACTAAATGCTGCTTCTCCATGTTTTGCTCTAGTTCTGGGGACACAGAGAAAGACCTAAGTGGTCTGGGAGGTTGATACACTGACAAAAATGTGTTAGTGTATGTATTTAAGTTCTGATCCTTTCAGTGATTCTTTTAGTTACAAAAGGATTTAAAGGCAATGCAGGAGCAGTTTATTTGTATTGCACAGTTTAGTGCAAATACCATTTAAAGTGTTTTAAATGAATTAAGAAATAATAACCCACCCAGTTTTTAATAAAGAAATCTGTCCTTAAAAAACTGTGTAAGACTTAATATAATTATAAAGCAGAAGCAAAGTTGCATTAAACAATTTGATGCATGTGAAACTCCATGAAACAAATGAAAGATTAAAGAAAAACATAAAACAGAATATGTTTCCTGGCAAGGATCTTTAGTGAGAAAACGTATTTGGCACTTTATTTTCATATCTTTGCAAAGAGAGAACAGTTCATCATACAGCCCTTACTGCTTGGTGTTTATCCCTGTTCTGCCTGGGCAGAGTGTGTCCCCTTACTTACAACAATGAAAAGTAGTCAGAGTCAAAACAAATTACAGACACATTGGTTAAACAGTAACATGCTACGCAGGGGAATTTTGTGGCCTTGCAGGTGAAAGAGACTGAGTGAAAACTTTTATAGTGAGTAAATAGGATAAATTAATATATGGAATAAGAGAAATCTAAATTTTCCGACCACACCGTCATCAAAGATAAAACTGGGAAGATTGGAAGTTCTGATAATAGCAAAATTTGGAAGTTATTAAGTTTAAATACCACCTAACATTCCTTGTGGGATGAAAAGTGTAACAAAATAAAAATAAAAAACAAATAACATTGATGTTTTCCTGCAGGGATCAAAATTATCTCACAATCAGTCACTAGTGGTCAGCAGTTTTACTAACTTCAAGTGAACCATTGCTCAGCAGGCGTATTTTTATATCAGGTGGCAGCCCTTGTTTAATCAGTTCTTTTTTGAGCTGCAGAAAAAAAATAAGATGTATAAGAGACAAATAAGTGGTGCTTTTTGTATATGATGAAAAGCTTCTATCATTAAAACTAATATCAACAGCGGAGCTTAATTGCATCACTGAGACAAAACTCTGGATTATTGTTTAACATTATCAACACATTTGGACTAAATCAGTTAAAAACATCACTCACCGCTTTTACAATTTTGTCCTGATCATCTTTCAGTGACAGTTTAGTCGAGATCTTCAGTCTCACAACAGTAAGATGAGCTGGAAGCACAAGAGATCAACATGGTTTACAGAGATACTTTCACTTACTTACCGCTTTAGTTTTACTTACATGTTTTTGGAGGAGGATTTAAAGTTGTCAAAGGGACGGTGGACGTGGCAACAGTTGTGGATGTAATGGTAGTTGGCATAACAGTGGTGGGGGTGACAGTGGTGGCCGGGAAAGTAGTGGGCATGGCAGTGGTGGTCGGGACAGTGGTCGGGACAGTGGTCGGGACAGTGGTGGGCATGGCAGTGGTGGGCATGGCAGTGGTGGTCGGGACAGTGGTCGGGACAGTGGTGGACATGGCAGTGGTGGGCATGGCAGTGGTGGTCGGGACAGTGGTGGGCATGGCAGTGGTGGTCGGGACAGTGGTCGGGACAGTGGTGGACATGGCAGTGGTGGTCGGGACAGTGGTGGACATGGCAGTGGTGGTCGGGACAGTGGTGGGCATGGCAGTGGTGGTCGGGACACTGGTGGGCATGGCAGCGGTGGTCAGAACACTGGTGGTTGGGGCAGTGGTGGTCGGGACAGTGGTGGTCGGAACAGTAGTGGGTGGCAAAACGCTGATTATATCCGTTGTGGGTCCTTGGGCAGCAATAAAAACATCATTTGTTCAGAAAATAAAAAAAGAAGGTCGAATCAGATATGAAATAGAAATAATTAACTTACCGTTTCCAACTGTCACAACTACACATCGGAACTCAGACTGATACGTAGAACCGTTGATGCTGTGGAGGCAGATTTGAAAAAAGTAGGTTATTGTTGCTTTAAATATACACGCTATAGGGGAGTGGTTGCCTAGTGGTCAGAGCATTGCGGATTCCCAAAGAGATGGGTTAAATGCAGAGAGTGAATTTCCCCACTGTGGGACGATAAAGGGAGTTACATTTTTTTTACATTACATATATAATTGCTTGTCTAAACACTTTTTTCTGATTTCAGAATTTTTTTTTTCTCAAAACCCTCCTTTAGTTTGTTTAGGGTTATATTAGATTTCTGATGAAATAACTGTCACATTTAGTCTAAGACTTTAACACGATGAAGACTGAAATGAGAACTGGGAATCTTTTAAAGTCCTTGAACTGATTCTGTGTCAACACCCAACTGGAATTCCACCAACATAGATAATTAATATAGATAAGCCTTTTTTATGCCTTTAATGAGAGCACAACTATGGAAAACAAAATTGTTCAAGCTCATTGGTGGTGGTATTAAGCCAGCCAGTTGTTTTTCACTGATGAAGTTAAAACTAATAAAGTGATTCTATTTTCATAAAATTCTAGGACAGTAACAAAATGATCAGACTAGAATGATCTGTGATATATATGTAATAGTAATATGGATATAATGATTGAAAAATTTTATACTTACTATTTCTTCACAGCTGTTTAACTAAAATGTGTACCTGACAGATTAAAGATTAGTCTTCAAGTAAGGTTGGTACTCTTTAGAAGACAAATCTCTGATATTAGTTCATGAGGACGACCAGCGAAAGGTTAAATGTAAAAACAAACCATAACAATTGTTCCAAAATATATAACAAAGGCATGTATAGGATTCTAGGGAGGTTTTGGTCTCTGTGGTAGATAGGCATAGTGTTGATCACGTGGTGTCAGCAGTGATTTGTAAGATCACCTGTTTGCTCACCTGGTGAGTTACAGTGAGTGGATAATGGGGGAGGTCATATATCTACTTTTTGCTAACCGCTTTAAGCTTTGGATGTTTTTTATTCTCTTTTGCGCTTGATCACAGCTCGTACTTGTGGATTCATTTTTTCTTGTATGCTGCATTGCATGTTTTGTAGATCAATAAAACAAAAGGACCTGAACCGCATCTTGGACTGAACTTTTGAGCGCGTCAACAAGGATTCCCCTAATTGACTGTCGTCAATAGTCTCATCTAGAAGACATAGACATAGAAGACGTTATAACCCCGTTTTTGGTAGAAACTGCATGTCTTTCATGTATAGGTGAAGTTTTTTTTTTTATTTTCACCTTGTCCATAGTTACTTTAACAAACCTTAAAGGTATAGTGGAGGATATTTGTGATTTTTTTGACACGCCTTAACCACTTAAAAAGAAAGAAAAAGGACATGCAAAACCATGTACCCTCTCCAGAGAGGGAACACCTATTAAATGTGTGCTAAAGCATGGAGGATGCTATTGGCATTGCTCATACAGGCTTATCTTCAAAAATAATTTGCAATTTTTCCACTATGTCAAACTGTAAGTGAAAATGGGAACCAGCACGTAGGACGGCTTTATGTAAACATATCATCAGAATGATTGACAATTAGGAGGACCACTTATTTTGATGATCCACTCGGAAAAACAACATTAGTTTATTTTAAGTTCTGTTCATATACAGGATAAAAAGGATGCAACTAAAAGGCTGTCTGCTGCTAAATAGGATTTAGATGGAAGCCTAAACAATCATGCACAATAAAATTTGGAGCAAAGCCCAAAATACTTTATCTCTGGCTTAAAAGACTTCAAACTGGGAAGAGGCATGAGCCAAAAGGTCATATATTATAAAATATCTGAACACACACACACAAACCACGGGCAAAGAGGGAGGAATGACAAAAAGGTGTGTCTTAATTTTTTATTATTTTTTTTTTTGTGTACCTCAAAATGGTAAATTTCTCCATCAACTTTTTATAATGAAAGCTGTGCTCTCTCTGAAAGAGGCTATGGTGTCTGGACAAGACAATGCAATTGTCAAATGAATAGTCAAAGATCTTTATATGTTTGTAAAGTATTATAGGAGATAAATTAGAGATAAGCTCCATATAAACAAAATAAAAACTGTCCTTTCCTACAGTAAAATACGCATAGTATGGACATTTAAAAGAATAATTTTTCCAGTTTCAAAATGATTTTAAAAAGTCCCAGATGAACACAAAAAACTACTTTGATACTTTGGCTATTTATTTTATGTAATAGATGTTATGATTATTATAGATTATCATGAACAAATACTGACCTTCCCTGCACGATAAAACAGATGGGGTGACTCTGTCCTTCTTCCCTTGCAGACGGTGTCCAAGTCAAAGAGAAGTTTCCTGATCCTAAAGAACTTTTTTGCACATTGCTTGGCCCACTGTACAGGACTGAACTGTAATTAAGACCAAATATACATGATTGTTATGTGACGTTTTTAACTTTTAAATACCGATGAACATATTAACATTTTGTTACCGGTAATGTTTTTTTTGGATATATTTTATTATATTTATTGCTGTTTAAAAACTAACTTTTTATGTTACCAAATTTAAAATGAATTTAAAAAAAAAAAAAAAAAACAGAAAATCTGTGGAAAAAATTTTTCGATCTCGGCAAAATGGCCACTCCTTATGTGCCTGGTTCTGCTGGAGGTGTCTCCCTGTTAGATGGGAGTTTTTCCTCTCCGCTGTCGCTGCATGCATGCTCATTGTGAGGGACTGCTGAAGAGTCAATGACGCAATGCAAGCAAATATCTACTCTTGTCATTTGCAGTAGGACTGTGTCCTGCAAAGTTAATTAGCAGAATTTTACCCAGTATGACTATATAGTTGGATAAACTGTCTATGAAAAGTGCCTTGAGATTTTATTTTATTTTTTTTTTTTTGTGAAATGGCACCATAAAAATAAGCTAAACTGAATAAAAAGTATTATGCATCTTTCATTTTGTATCTAGTGAATCTATTTGCCATGCATTTTGTATTTCCTTACATAGATAGAGTTGCCACTGCTCTAATGCTGATCACCAGACTCTGGCTGACCAGAGTGTAGAACCGAGTTCCGTATTCTGGAGTTGGGGACAGAAATCTGGGCAGATAATCACCTTCTGAGCAGGATGGTGCTGCAGGATCCACTGAAACATATTTGCAAAACGTTATCCATTCTCAGCTGGAAATATAACTGTAGACCTGTTTGTCTATAAATCACATCTATGACTTTGCCACAGATTACCATGCAATTACTCAATATAAACATAAAAATAAATCTTAAAAGGTTAACCAAAACTAAACACCTGAAATAAATCTTATGTTATAATAACTTTTCGTGGTTGTAAATATGCTGACAATATGTTCACATTTTACCTAGAAAAGCAAACTGGATGGGAATCCTGCTGATTGCATCACTAGTAGTTTTCACAACATGTGACCCATCGGTGTGAGTCAGGGTGATTTGCTGTCTGGGAAAGTCCTCCATCACTATTTGGACTGCATAGAAACCTTCATTACTGCTTGATGTTGCACTGAATGAGAGGATACAGTTCTGTAAGAACACAGAAAATAGAATGGCAATCTTAGGACAAGCTGAAAATGCTGTACAATATTATCAAATATTTCTCCTGAAAAGATTCTATTAAAAGATTAGCTTGCACCAAACCTTCAACAACTGGAGACAGATATCATTAGTTTAGATATTTGCACTCAGGTAGCATAAAGATAATATCAGAAATACAGAATCATGAGAGCAAATGCAAACAAAAAAAAGCAGAGGAATAAACTGTTCTCCAAGCTATTACTCAACTGGAGCAGAATCCAAAAGTTGGCAGAGCTATAACAAATGACTTGTCCGGAAGTTTAAAACAGTGTAACTTCACATAAAAACACAGACATTGTCTGGTTTGACAAGACAAACGTAACAGTGGTTGCTCATGAAATTGTTGACCACAGGGGCCATTTTCACTTGTCAGTATAACTTCAGGAGTCACTGCATATCCTGAGCTTTCTGTTTAAGGGAGGCAGATTGCTGTTATACAGTCAAGTTTGCAGTACCTTTTTGAACCAACTCTGGTTGGTAGCAGGGTTTCTTAAAGTTATCCTACCATTTTAATGCATCAAAATTATGCTACTTTTACTTTTTTGATGCCACATTTTTCGCATCACAGTTTTTTCAACTAAGTAATTTAATCTTAATAAAATTTAAATCACAGATCACTAATGTGACACAGTAAGGAAAAGTTATTTGTGCTGTACTTTGTTGTGAAGGCCAACTCTCAGGAAAACAGAATGAAACTGTTAATGCTCGGTACAGACGGACACAAAGTCGATCAGATGAAAAAACGCAATGTCAGCTATTCATACTGGTAGAAAAGAGATTGTTTATTTAGGAGGGACACATCGGTTGCAATCCAGACTGGAATTAAAACAACAATTTATTTCCTTGCATTTACTGAATGGCTCATGTTTTGTTCAATTATATTC